CCCTTCATCCCTCCAAACGGGGCTCCCTCGGCACCAGGGGGTGGCAGGGATGTCCCCCCGGGATCGGGGGGTGACAGGGCCCTGGTGGCCTTGGCCGCGTCCCCCCAGCCTGTCCCACTCTGGCTGGACAGAGGAATGGGGGACACAGGGATGGGGGGTGGCAGCCAGGAGAGCGTCACCATCCCTGTCACCGGCGTGGTGGGGCTGCAGGGGGGGGGACAGGGGTGGGAGAGGGGACCTGTGGTGGGGACAGGGACATGGATGGGGATGGGGACATGGATGGGGATGGGGACAGGAATATGGGGTGGAGACAGTGCCATGGAGATGGGGACACAGGGTGGGGACAGGGACATGGATGGGGATGGGGGTGTGGGATGGGGACGGGGACATGGGAGGGGAACAGGGACCTGGGGTGGAGCAGGATCAGGGGCTGGGGATGACGTGGGCTGGAGCAGGGACACGTTCACTGCTGGCAGGTGATGGTGGCACCTCAGCCCAGCCCAGGTGACGTCGGTGAGGAGCCATCAGTGGTGGTCTCAGAGCTGCTTCCTGCTGTCCCTGGGGTGGCACCTCAGGCATCACCAGCCCTGGAGCTGCCCCGGGGAGCCCGGAGTGCCACCAGCAGGGGACCCCCACAAAGGACCTCGGGGACACCTGGGACCCCAAGCTGGGGACATCGCCACGGACTGGCCACAGAGCCACCGAGTGACCACGGGGACAGCGACCAATCATGGGGACAGTGACCAATCATGGGGACAGTGACCATCCACAGAGCCACCGAGTGACCATGGGGACAGCGACCAACCATGGGGACAGCGACCATCCACAGAGCCACAGAGCGGCCACAGGGCCATGGGGACACTGCCCAGCCATGGAGCTTCGAGCTTGTCCTGTCACCAGCCCTGGGACACGGCTCAGACACCTGGAATTGGGGCGCTGCCACCCAGCCAGTGGCACCGAGGACAGGATCAGCCATGGGCCACGTCCCTGCAGTGCTGGGGGACACAGACCTGGCAGCCACGGTGACACTGAGCAAGGGTCCCTGAGGGGACACCAAGCACTGGACCCATTGATGACACTGAGCAACAGCCCCTGAGGTGACAACCGAGCACCGGCCCCGCTGGTGACACCGAGCAATGGCTCCTGCAGTGACACCGAGCACGGCTCCACCGGTGACACCAAGGACTGGCTCCTCTGGTGGCCTCCTGCCACCCCCTGGTGCTCTGGTGGCTGAGGGACAGGAGCCTGGGGACACCCTGGATGTGCTGGTAGGAGTTGGTGGCACTGCTCTGTCCCATGCCACCATCGCGCTGTGCCATGTTAATGTCACTCTGTGCCATGTTAATGTCACTCTGTGCCACATCCCCAGTGTCTGTTCTGGGTCCCCATCACTCTGTGTCACATCAGCATTGCTCTGTGCGTGTCACCTCACTCTGTGCAATGTCACCATCGCTCTGCGCCATGTCCCCTGGTGTGTGTGCCACACCCATGTCACTCTGTGCCACATTCATGTCACTGTGTGCCATGTCACCTCACTCTGTGCCACATCCATGTCACTCTGTGCCATGTCACCTCACTCTGTGCCAAGTCCCCATGGGTCTGTGCCATGTCCCTGTCCCTCTGTGCCACATCCCTGCCATTCTGTGCCATCCCCATCACAGCCACATCTCCTCCATGTTGTCCCATGTCCCCACTGGGCTGTGCCACGTCCCCATCACTCGGTGCCATGTCCCTGTCACTCCATGCCCCATCCCTGTCCCTCTGTCACCCCCATCCCTCTGTGCCACATCCCCAGGGTGTCAGGGTGTTGTGCCCTGTCCCCACCACTCTGTGACATGTCCCTGTCCCTCTGTGCCACCTCTCACGGGTGCCAGGGCCATGGCAGCGCACACGTGACAGGTGGCACACGGCAGGTGACGTGTGGCACACAGGGTGGCACACAGGGGTGGGTGGCAGTGTCCCCAGCACAGGGGACAGCCGGGGGCTGGCGGGGCCCTCGGGTCAGGGGGGCCGTGTCCCACCTCAGGCCCTGTCCCGGGGGCTCCGCGTGTCCCCGTCCCCGTCCCTCCTTGTCACCTGCTCCCTTGTCACCGCGGTGCCACCGGGGGCCACCGTCCCTGTCCCTCTCGGGTCTTTTTGCGGTCTGGGCTTGCTGTCCCTCCCCAGCCAGGAAGCCCTTACCCCAAAAAGCATCCGCGGGGGGCCGAGCCAGCGGGGACCCCAGGTGAGTGGGGGGACAGCGAGGGGACAGCGGGGACACGGGGTGGGGGGCAGTGCTGGGGGACAGCGGGGACACGGGGGGGGCAGTGCTGGGGAGGGGGGGACAGCAGGGACACGAGGCCACCGCAGCTCCTGGCACGGCCGGGGACCTGTGGGGGTGACACTGGGGACACCCCGGGGGCGGGGGGGTGACACTGGGGGGTGCTGGGGGGACACCAAGCCGGGGGGGGGCACAACAGGTCCCAGTGCTCCCAGTTTGGGTCCCCATCGCTGCCCGGTGACGGGGGAGGGGCCCAAGGGCTCCCGGTGGCCGAGCCACCCCCTGGGGACACTCAGGGGTGACGGGGATGGGTCCCTGGAGGGGATGGGGACAGGAATGGGGACATGCGGGACAGTGGGGACAGGGCGCTGGGACAAGGTTGGGGACACACGGGGTGCTGGCAGAGATGACGGGAGCGGGACACGAGGGATGCCAGGTGGGAGGGGACAGGCCGTGACGTCAGCCAGGTCACCGTGCTGGCACTCTGTGTGTCCCCAGAGCCCCGCGGCCCTGCCAGCGGCTGCCGGGCACCGGTGTCACCGGTGTCACCGCCGCCCTTCCCGGAAGGGCCACCGCGGTGTTTGCCGAGTGTCACCGCCGTGGTGGCACCAACTGCGGCGTCACCAGCGCGGGGACAGCCCCGCCCGGGGACCCCCACGGGGACAGCCCCTCCCTCTGGGGACAGCCCGGGCCGGGGGTGACAGGGACAGGTGGGGACGGGACCCCTCTGTTCCCCCCAGTGACAGGGAGGGGGTGGCCCGTGCCCCCGACAGAGCGGCCCCCCCCCGTGTCACCCTGGCGCTGTCCCCTGGGTCTGGGGGCTCCTGGGGACACCTGGGGGACACCTGGGACCCTTGAGGACACCGGTGCTGTCCCTGGTTTGTCCCCATCCCGTGCCCGGTGTGCGAGTGCCACGCGCGGGGACACGGGGGGGACAAGGGTGGATACAGAGGGGGGTTATGGGGACAAGCAGGGACACAAAGGGGACACGGGGGGACACAGGGGGGACACGAGGAGGGGACATGAAGGACGTGGGGACGCTGTGGGGAGACTGGGGGCACGTGGGGCGGGGGGACACCGAGCGAGGCGCGCGGGGCCATGCGGGACACGGGGGGACACGGGGGGACACGGGGGGACACGGGGGGACACGGGCGCGTGTGCGCGGTCACGGCGCGCGGGGCGCGCGTCACGGCGGGGCTGCGCTCACCTGGGCACGTATGCGCGGGGGGGGGACGGGACCGGGGGGGCAGTGGGAAACCGGGACCCCCCCGGAGCCCCCGCGCGTCCCCGGGACCCCCCCGAGCCATCCCAGTGTCCCCGGCTCGCCGCGGGCCCCCCGCGCTCCTCCTGCTGCGGGACCCCCGGAGGCGTCCCGGGCCCCCCCGGCCGGACCCGGCCCGGGCAGCGCGGAGGGGCGGGGGGGGCGGGCAGCGCTGGGGAGCGGCCCCGCCGCTATAAACGGGGGCGGCGCGATGGAGCCACGGCCGCGACCGACGGGACCCGCGGGGCCACCAGGTGAGCCCGACCCCGAACCCCCGGAGGGACCCCCAACCCCATAGGGACACCCCAAACCCCCGGAGGGACACCCCAAACCCCCCGGAGGGACCCCCAAACCCCATAGGGACACCCCAGCCCTCGCAGAGGGACACCCCAACCCTCGCAGAGGGACACCCTGCTCAGGGACACCCCAAACCCCCCGGAGGGACACCCCAAACCCCACAGAGGGACACCCCAACCCTCCGGAGGGACACCCCCAGGTGCTCAGGGACACCCCGACCCCGTGGAAGGGACACCCCGCTCAGGGGCATCCCCCGCCCCCTCCCTGGGACCCCCACCCTGGGCTATCCCCCCGGTCCCCTCACCCCGGGGGTCTCGGGCTGTGTCACCCCCGGGGGTCCCCAGTGTCCCCCCCTCCCCAGGGCACCTGCGGGTTCGCTCTCAGTTCGCTCTCCCGGGCCTGGCTGGCACCGAAGCTCCCGGGGGGGTCTGGGCACCCCCTTGTCCCCGTCATTGTCCCCCCGGCCCCTGCTGTCCCCGAGGTGGTGGCAGTGCCACCGGCCGTGTCCCCCGGCCCCGCGGGGACACCGGGGGTGACCCAGGGGACCGCGGGCCGCCCCCACCCGGCCGGTGGGCTGGTGGCACTGGCGGGGTCCCCGTGTCCCTCCATCACCGGCACCGTCTCCTTCCAGGCTCAGCGAGTTCGTGCGAGGCTCCGGTGAGTGGCACTGTCCCCGTGTCCCCTCGGTTTCCCCCGTCCCCGTGTCCCAGCACACCCCCACGTTCCCGCATCCCTGTGTCCCCCCCGTTCCTGTGTCACCCGTGTCCCCCTGTCCTCCGCACCCCCAGGTCCTCCGTGTCCCCCCCATCCCCGAGCTGTGGGTGACAAGGTCCCCCCAGCGTCCGTCCCGCAGCCCCAGGGGGGTGACACAACTGCGGGGACCCAGCGCGCACCGTGACCGTCCCCTCCCGCTCCGAGCCCGCGCTGTCGCTGTCCCCCGCGTGGTCAGGGCCGGGCGGCGGTGGCGCTGGTGACAGGTGCCAAAGGGCTCCGGGAAGGCGTCAGGGACACGGCCCGAGCGGCACGTGCGGGAGGGGACACGGTGCCACCGTGCCGAGCGCCCCGTGCGCCAGCGGCGCCGCTTCCCGCCCGTCCCGGTGCGCTGCCCCCGGCGCCCCGGGGCTGACCCGCGCGGGTTTGGGGTGACAGCCGTGTCCCCGCTCCCCAGAGGCCGCCGGCGGGATGCGGGGTCCCGGTGCGTCCCTGCGGGCGCTGCTGTGCCTGGCGGTGGCGCTGGCGGTGGGCGGGGGTCGCCCCGTGCGGCTCGAGAGGGTCCGGGCGGACGCGCGGGCCCTGACCCGGACCCTCAGCACGCGCCTGCAGCAGCTCCAGGTGACCCCGGGGACCCCCACAATGGGGGGGGGGGGGCTGTGACAGCCGGGAGGGGCTGGGGGGACACCCACAATGGGGGGGACATGTCCCAGACTGGGGGGGCGGTCCTCACTTGGGGGGATCCTGTTTCCCAAAGCGGGGTGGGGTCTCCAGGGGGGTCTGCCATGGGGGGGACCCCGTGCCCAGATTTGGGGGGTCCCCAGGAAGGGGCGCCTGGGGCGAGGTGGGTCTGGGGGTCTGACCCCAAATCGGGCACACCCAGGGATGGGGTCTGGGGGAGATTTGGGGTCTGCACCCCCAGGGATGGGGTCTGTGGGAGATTTGGGGTCTTCACCCCCAGGGATGGGGTCTGGGGGAGATTTGGGGTCTGCATGCCCAGGGATGGGGTCTGGGGGAAGATTTGGGGTCTGCACGCCCAGGGATGGGGTCTGTTCCCCGAGGGTTGGGGTCCCCAAGCAGGGACAGCCATAGCTGGGGGTGCCCCAAACCGGGTTCCCCAGGCTGGCCGGGTGTCCCCCCGCCCTGCCCCGACGCCCCCTGTGTGTTCCCCCAGCTGTTCCCGCTGACCCTGCGCATCTCGGGCCTGGAGGGGGTCCCGGAGGGGGCGCTCCCGGACGGGGGGGCGCCCCCGGGGCTGGGCTGGGCCGCCCAGCGGCTCCAGCTGTTCCAGCGGCTGCTGGCGGCGCTGCCCGGGGCCGACCTGCGCCTGGCCCAGGTGGCCAACGACCTGGAGAACCTGCGCAGCCTGCTGGCCGTGCTGGGCGCGCTGCTGGGCTGCCCCGCGCCCCGCGAGCCGCCCCCGGCGCCCCCCGCGCCGCCCAACGAGGCCCCGCACACGCTGGCCGGGGTGGCCCTGGCGCGGCTCCGTGGCTGCCTGGACGGGGTCGCCGCCCGCCTCGAGGGGGTCCCCGCGTGTTAGGGACCCTCGGGACCCCGCCAGGACCCCCCGGCCCGCGGGGACACGGCCGGGACCTCAGCGGGTCTCAGCAGGACCCCACCGACAGGACCAGGAGCTCCATGGGGACACCGCGAGTGGCCGCGGGCACCGGAGCGACTCCAGCTGCTGCCAGCACCTTTTTCTACAACATTACTGCTACTGTTATTACTGTTACTGTTAATTTATTTAATTTAAAGCCCCTTTTCCAGCAGCCTCTGGCGTGTCTCTGATGACTCTGGGGACATGGGACACCCCTGGGGAGAGCGGCCACACAGGGACAAGGGACACCTCTGGGAACAAGGGACACCCGTGGGAAAAGGGAAACACATGGGGACAAGGGACAAACCCTGAGACATGGGACACCCATGGGACATGGGACCTCTGGGACAAGGGACCCCTGGGGACAAGGGACACCCCTGGGGACAGCACCCCCATGGGGACAAGGGACTCCCCTGAGAAACGGGATCTGCAGTGTCATGGGGGCACCTGGGGACAAGGGACACCTCTGGGGACAAGGGACACCCCAGGGACATGGGACCCTTGGGGACAAGGGACGTTTGGGACAGAGGCCACACGGGGACAAGGGACCCCCCGGGACACAGGGGCACCAGGGGACAAGGGACAGCGGGGCCCTGGGATCTCGTGGCCCCCAGGGCAGGGGTGACACGGGGACACGGCCCCGTGACTCAGTGGCAGCTGATGACTCGCTGGTGGCTTTGCCACCCCCGGCCTGGTGTGACCCTGACACTTCCAGCCCGGCTGGGGACACGGGGGGGCCGGGACCCCCAGGAAAGGGGAAAAGGTATGGGAGACAGGGAGAGAGGAACAGGGGGGACAAAAGGGACAGGGATGGGGGAACAGGGACACGCACGGGTGGCACTGGTGGTGTCACTCTGTGTCCTCTGCAGCGCTGGCCTGGCCCCTCCTGGTCCCTGCCCAGAGCCCCCCCTGCCCCCCAGCCCCGGGCAGATGTTTTGGGGTCCCCGAGGTGGGGGGCGGCACCGAGAAGCCAAATTTTCCTCAAAAAACCCATTTTTATTAAAACCCAGGAAGACACAGAGCCATGGGGGGGGAGCACCCCCAAATCCTGGGGGGAGCCAGGAGGGACCCAGGGCAGGGTCCCACCCCCAGCCCCCCCCAGAGCGCGTGGGGGCAGCACCCCAAGACCCCCCTGTAAGGTCTGGGACCCCCGGCACCCCCAGGGGGGTTTTGGGGTGCCAGGGGGGTGCTGGGGGAGCCTCAGCTCTCGAACCACTTTCCCCCCCGGGCCGTGGCGGGGGTGCTCCCCAAAATCTTCCTCTTGTACCTCTCCACCAGCTCCTGGAAGCGCGCCTCGGCCCCCCCGGGGCCCCCCCGGCGCCGCCGCTGGCCCTGGGGGACACAGCGGGGTCAGGGGGACCCCGAAACCCCGGGCTGGGGGGGGCAATTCCCACGGGAGACCCCAAATGCCTACCTGGGGAGGGGGCACCCGGAGCTTCTCCCGCCGCCGAGAGGCCTTGGGGGCTTTGGGGGGCTTGGGGGGCGGCTGAGCCTTCTTCCCCTTGTCCCGTTTCCTGGGGAAAAAAGGGGAATTGGGAAAAGGGGGAATTGAGGGGGAGACCCCAGGGTGCCCCGAGGGGCAGAGACCCACGGGGAGGGGGAAAGGAAATGGGGAGTGAAAGGAGAAAGGTCTGGGGGAAAGAGGGGAGAAAAGAGTGGGAAAAGGGATGGAGAAGGGAGGGAAAACAGGAGAGAAAAGGGGAAAAAGGGTGGGAAAGGAGAAGGAAAGGAAAGGAAAATGAGAGAGAAAAGGAGGGGGGAGGAAAAGGGGGAGAAATGAAAGAATGGGAGGTAGGAAAAGAGGAGGAAGGGGGGAAGGAGAGGAAAAGGGAAGGGTGGAAAAAGAGGACAAAAAGCTGGGAAAAAGGAAAGGGAAGCGGGGAGAACACTGAGGGTGAAAGGGAGCGAAGCAGCACAAGGCCGGGGCACAGGGCCCCCCTCACCTGATCTTGGGGCCGCGGTGCGAGGGCAGGGCCAGCACCTTGGTGCGGGGGGCGCCGGGAGCCCCCCTGAGCCCCGGGCCCTGCGTGCGGAACCCGGCCCAGGAGGCCCCGGGGGGCAGCCCCGGGGGGGGCTGGGGGCCCCCTGAGCCTGCGGGGGGCGCTGGCTGTGCCTTGGGGGGCGCTGGCTGTGATTTGGGGGGCGCTGGCTGCGCCTTGGGGGGCGCTGGCTGTGCCTTGGGGGGCGCTGGCTGTGATTTGTGGGGCGCTGGCTGTGCCTTGGGGGGCGCTGGCTGCTGCTTGGGGGGCGCTGGCTGTGATTTGTGGGGCGCTGGCTGTGCCTTGGGGGGCGCTGGCTGCTGCTTGGGGGGCGCTGGCTGTGCCTTGGGGGGCGCTGGCTGCGCCTTGGGGGGTGCTGGCTGTGCCTTGGGGGGCGCTGGCTGTGATTTGGGGGGCGCTGGCTGTGCCTTGGGGGGGGCCGGAGCTCCCTCGGGACCCTCTGCAGATCCTGCAGCTGCCTTGGCCTTGGCCTTGAGCTGTGGGGAAAGGGCGTCAGTGTGGGGCCAGTGTGGGGTCAGCACCGAAAGCCCCGGGGGGCACAGTGGTCAGGGGGCACAGGGTCAGGGGGCACAGGGTCAGAGGGCACAGGGGGCACAGGGTCAGGGGGCACAGGGGGCACAGGGTCAGGGTGTCCCTACCAGCCCCCGCTGGATCCTCTGCTCCCGCAGCCGCAGCTTCCGCCGGTCCTCGAGCGCAAACTCCACGATCGGGCGCTGGGGGGGCACGGTGGGCACCCCAAAAATACCCCAGATACCCAAACACCACGGTGGGCACCCCAAATACCCCAAACACCATGGTGGGCACCCCAAAACGCCCCAGAAACAGGGGGTACACCCACAAATACACCAAACACTGGGGGGGGACACCCGCCAAGTACCCCAAACAGCAGGGGTGCATCCCAAAATGCCCCAGACACTGCAGAGCACCCTGAAATCCCCTCAAGTAGCCAGTGGGACACCCCAAAACCAAGAGGACATTTCTAAAGCTCCCAAAACTCTGTGGGGGACACCCCAACACCCCAAACTTGCAGAGGGCACCATGGAACCCCTCGAGCAATGGGGAGGTCCTGAGCAATGTCATGGAATCCCCATGACACCCCAGCACAACGAGGGCACCCCGAAATCCATGGGGGGGCCCAGAAACCTCCCTAAAAACATCACAGGGTAACCCAGAACGCCCCAAAAACCGGGGGGCCCCCAAAAACACCCAGGGGAACCCCCAGGGCATCCCAAAACCACCCGGGGGAACCCCAGGAAATGCCAGGGGCAGCTCTGGGGTCTGGAAACGGGGTCCCCTGAATTTGGGGTGCCCCCACTGACCTTGTGGGCCCCGAAGAGCTCGGGGTTGTTGTTGAGGCGCCGCAGGGCCCCCAGGGCCTCCTCGTGCTCCCCGAACTCCACGAAGGCGAACCCCAAAGATTTGCCCTGGCCCCGCAGCTCCCGCATCACCCGGCACTGGGGAAAGCACGGGGTCACCCCAAAATTCACCCAGGGCACCCCAAAACCCACCCACAGCTCCTGCCATCACCTGGCACTGGGGATGGGATGGGGTCACCCCAAAAACACCCCCTGGGTCACCCCAAAACCCAGCCAGGGCACCCCCGGAGGGGCACGAAGGAACACAGAGGTACACGAGGGGGACACAAGGCAGGCACAAAGGGGACAGGGGGACATGGGGGGGGGACACAGGGGGGACACAGAGGGACATAAAGGGACCCAGGGGCACACAGGGGGACACAAGGGGACCCAGGAGGACACAGAGCAACACAAAGGGACCCAGAAGGACACAGAGGGACTGATGGGGACGGAGGAACACAGAGGGACATGAAGGGACACAAGGGGGACACAAGGACACAAAGGGACACAGAAGGACACAAGGGAGACACAGGGACATGTAGGGGGACATGGGACACACAGAGGGACCCAGTGACCCAGGGGGACCCAGAGGGACCCACGGTAACCCAGGGTGACCCAGGGTGATGCGGAGGGACGCAGGGTAACCCAGGGGGACACAAAAGGACACAGAGTGACCCAGAGTGACACAGGTGACCCAGGGGGACACAGAGTGACCCAGAGTGATCGGGGCCAGCACCTCGGTGATGCAGGGAGCAGCACCATTGTTGCTGCATGGGGTGGCACACAGCAGGGTGTGCAGCCGGGCCGAGGCCAGCGCCTTGGGGCCAGGGTGACCCAGGGGAAGCCAGGGGGACCCAGAGGGACCCAGGTGGACCCATGGTGACCCAGAGTGACCCAGAGTGACCCAGAGTGATCGGGGCCAGCACCTCCTTGATGCAGGGAGCAGCACCATTGGTGCCACGCAGGGTGGCTCGCAGCAGGGCGCGCAGCCGCGCCGAGTCCAGCGCCTTGGGCAGGTTGTGCAGGCACAGCCGCGTCCGCGACACGGCCACGTTGGGGTCCTGCAGCCGCCGCCGCTTCAGCTCCTCAAACTGGGGGGACAGGGGGGTCAGGGGCTGGGCACCAGGGGGGACACCCCCAAACCACCCCCAAAGCCCCCGAGGCCGCAGAGCTGCACTCACCCGCGCTCGCTTGGCCATGTCCGAGTCACTGACGCCCTCGGCAGCGCGCGAGCCCGGCCGGATGGCTGGGAATGGGGAAATGGGGGAGCTCAGGGCAACGGGGGGCTTGGGAGGATGGCTGGGATGGGAACTGGGGTGGGAAATGGAGTAGGGAACTGGGGGAGCTCAGGGGGAAGGGAGGAGCCTGGGGAGATGGATGGGATGGGAAACAGGGTCAGGGGATTGGGGTCACAGGGGTTCGGGGGGCTCAGGGGAATGGGGGAGCCTGGGCAGATGGCTGGGATGGGAATTGGGGTCACATGGGATTTGGGGGAATGGGGGAGCCCAGGTGGATGGCTGGGATGGGAACTGGGGTCAGGGGAACTGGGGTCACAGGGGTTTGGGGGGGCTCAGGGGGAATGGGGGAGCCTGGGGGGTGGCTGGGACTGGGGAAATGGGAAAATTTTGGGATTTTGTGGGGTCAGGGGGTAATGGGAGAGCCTGGGCAGATGTTTGGGGCAGGGAATTGGTGTGTTCTGGGGGGGGTCAGAGAAATGTGGTGGGGAAGAGAGGGGGGTCAGGGGGGTTTGGGAAGGGTTTGAGAAGCACTGGGGGTGCAGAGGGAATGGGGGGTGGGGGATTTGGGGAGCAAGGGGAAATTGGGGTTGGGGGTCCCCAGGAGAATGGGGAGGTTGAAAGGGGGGTCAGGGGGGTCAGGGGGGCACGGTGGCCCCTGACTCACCCCCCTCCCGGGCCAGGTACAGGTTCCTGGTGCCTCCTCGGGGCCGGGCCGTCCCCGCTGGGAGCCCCCGGGCCTGCTCCTGGCTCAGGGCGGGGTCCACGCGCAGCAGCCGCCCCCCCAGGCGCAGCCCCCCGCCCTGGGACAGGGGGCAGGGGGCATCAGACACTCCTGAACCTTCCTGATCCCCCCCGAAACCCACAGCATCCCCCAAAACCTCCCCAGAACCCCCCTAAACCCACAGCGTCCCCCAGAGCCTCCCCAGAACCCCCCGAAACCCACAGCGTCCCCCAGAACCTCCCCAGAACTCCCCTAAACCCACAGCATCCCCCAGAGCCTCCCCAGAACCCCCCGAAACCCACAGCGTCCCCCAGAACCCCCCGAAACCCCCCAAAATCCCTCAAACTCTCCCAAAATCTCCCATCCCACCAAAACCCCAAACTGCCCCCAAACCCTGCTAGACCCTCCCCGAAACCCCTCCCAAACCCCTTCAGGACCCCCCAAACCCCCCCAGTCCCACCAAAGCCCTGGCCCAAACCCCCTCAGGATTCCCCAAACCCCCTCAGGATCCCCCAAACCCCCCCAATCCCACCACAGCCCTGCCCCAAACCCCCTCAGGATCCCCCAAACCCCTCCAATCCCACCACAGCCCTGCCCCAAACCCCCAGACCCCTCTCCAAGCCCCTCCAGGCGCTGCCCGAGCCCCCCAGAGCCCTGACCCCCCTGCCCCCCCATCCCGGGGGTCTCTCTCACTGCGGGGTTCCCTCTGCCCCCCAGGCCCCTCTCACCTCGGGCCCCTCCTGAGCAGCCTGGATGCATTTCTGGGCCCCCTCGGGGGTCTCAAACTTGGCAAAGGCAGAGCCTGGGGGGGCAGGGGGGGTCAGGGGGAGCCCCTGAGGGAGGGGGAGCCCCCAGGGTGGGAGCCAAGGCCAAACGTGGGACACCCCCAACATGGGGGCACCCAAACATGGGATAACCCCCCCATGGTGGGCACTGCCCATTGTGGAGACCCTCCCTCAAATGTGGGACAGACACCCCCAAGTGTGGGACAGACACCCCAAAATGTGGGACAGACACCCCCAAGTGTGGGACAGACACCCCCAAGTGTGGGACAGACACCCCAAAATTTGGGACAGACACCCCCAAAATGTGGGACAGACACCCCAAAATGTGGGACAGACAACCCCAAGTGTGGGACAGACACCCCCAAGTGTGGGACAGACACCTCATATGTGGAACAGACATCCCCAAGTGTGGGACAGACACCCCAAATGTGGGACAGACACCCCCCAGATACCCCAGGACCCTCTGGGACCCCTCCCAAAGATCCCCCCAGGACTCCCCCCCCACCTCTGGGGTGCAGCCCCCACCCAGATCCCCGCTCTTTGGGGGTGTCGGTGTGGGGGAGCAGCACCCCGTGCCCCCCCAGCCCCAGTGCCGGCTCTGGGGTCCCCCAGCCCTGTGCCACCTTTTGGGGTGCCGGTGTGGGGGTGCAGCACCAGCCGCACGTAGCAGAGCCCCCCGAACTGCTCCAGGCTCTCCTGCAGCTCCTCCTCCTCGGTGTCGAACGAGAGGTTCCTGGGGGGACCCCGGGGCTCAGGGGGTGCCCAGGGGGTGCCCAGGGTGGGGGTCCCCTGTTCCCAGCCCCCCTCACTCACCGGATGAACACGGTCCTGCCCTCGCCCACGTCCGATGGGCGCTGCCTGCGCCTGCGGGGGGGCTCCTCTGCAATGGGGGGGTCAGGGCACCTGGGAGCCCCCCAGGGCACCCCCAGACACCTCTGGACACCCAGAGCACCCCCAGACACCCAGGAACCCCCCCCGGACACCCAGGGGCACCCCCGGACACCCAGAAATGTCCCCATCCCCTGCAAGACCCCTCAGATTGCCCTAAGCCCTCCCTCAAATCTCCCCAGACCCCTTAACCTCTCCACAAACCCCCCAAAAAAATCCCAGGAGCCCCCAGCCCATCCCAACCACCCCAGGAGCCCCCAGCCCATCCCAAACCCTCCCAGGACCCCCCCAGCCCATCCCAAACCCCCCAAAGTCCCCTGCCCATCCCAACCTCCCCCAGCCCATCCCAAACCCCCCCAGGAGCCCCCCCCAGACCCCCCAGAACTCTCCCATCCCAGAAGCCCCCAGCCCCAGCCACGCCAGTACCCAACAAACCTTCCTCATCCTCATCCTCTTCATCCTCCTCGTCCTCATCCTCCTCATCCTCTTCTTTTTCCTCATCTTCTTCCTGCTCTTCCTCTTCTTCATCTTCCTCCTCCTCCTCATCTTCCTCTATCTTCTTTTTTTTCCTGGGCCCCAGCCCAGCTCTGAGTCCTGATCCCCTTTTTGGGGTCTTCCGGGGCGCCAGGGCAGCCTCTTCCTCCTCCTCCTCCTCCTCCTCCTCCTCCTCTTCATCCTCCTCTTCATCCTCCTCTTCCTCTTCCTCCTCCTCATCTTTTCCTTCATCATCCTCTTCTTCCTCTTTTTCCTTTTTTTTCTCCCCTTTCTCCTCTCCCTCTGCAGGAACAGGGGGTGTGGGGGGGTCACAGTCACCCCTCGCCCCCCTCTGCCCCCCCAAATCCCCGGGGCCCCCAGCCCCTCACACGGGGTCTGGGGGGATTTGGGGACTCACTGGGGGGGATTGGGGTCTCAGGGGGGTTTGGGGGCAGTTTTGGGGTCTCACCAGGCGGTTTTGGGGGTCCCTGTGTCCCCTGGTACTTGTCCTTGGCCACGGCCCAGTCCACGGCCAGGGGCCGCCCTGGGGGGCACGGGGGGGTCAGCGCCCCAAATTCCTGAGGGCCCGCTGTGCCCCACAGACCCCCCCTCTGTATGCCCCTCCCCAGAGACCCCCGACGCCCCCAGGCTCCCCCAGCTCCCTCCCCTCGCCCCCCATTTCCCCCTGGGACCCCAAACCTCTGATCTCCCCTGCATGGAGACCCCCAGCACCCCTAACTCCCAGGAACCCCCTGCTGAACCCCAGGACCCCTATATTCAGACCTGACACCCACTGAGCCCCCCAGAACCCCCCAGAACCCCCAAACCTCTGATCTCCCCTGCGTGGAGACCCCCAGCACCCCCAACCTCCCAGGAACCCCCTGCTGAACCCCAGGACCTCCCAGCCCCCCCGGACCTCTGAGAAGCTGGGCCCCGTTGAGCCCCTAAGGACCCACAAACCTCTAAGCTGGGCCCCATTGAGCCCCCATTGAGCCCCCCCAGCCCCTCAGGACCCCCCAAACCTCTGCGCTGGGCCCCATTGAGCCCCCCAGGACCCCCAAACCTTTGATCTGGGCCCCGTTGAGCCCCCGCAGGGCCGCAGCCGCCTCACGCAGGTTCCGGAGCTGGACGAAGGCGAAGCCCCTCGGGGTCCCATCTGCAAGAGCCCCCCAGAGCCCCCCAGAGTGAGCCCCAGAGTGGGCCCAGGCCTGGGGGGGCACCCCGGGGGGCTCAGGGGCACGGGGGGCTCACCAGGCTTGCGGGGCAGGTTCAGCTCCACCACAGGGCCAAAGGGGGTGAAGAGAGCCCGGAGCTCCTCCTCAGAGCACTGCGGGGACAGGGGGACAGGGGGGTCACTGCGGGGACAGGGGGGTCACTGCGGGGACAGGGGGACAGGGGGATCACTGTGGGGACAGGGGGGTCACTGCGGGGACAGGGGGACAGGGGGGTCACTGCGGGGTCACTGTGGGTCAGGGGGGTTTCTGGGGACAGGGGGGTCACTGCAGGGACAGGGGGGTCACTGCGGAGACAGGGGGACAGGGGGGTCACTGTGGGGACAGGGGGGTCACTGCGGGGTCACTGTGGGTCAGGGGGGTTTGTGGGGACAGGAGGGATAGGGGGGTCACTGCAGGGGCTGGGGGGTCACTGTGGGGTCAGGGGGGGTTTGTGGGAGCACTGCAGGGTCACTGCAGGGTCACTATGGGGTTTGTGGGGCCCTGGAGAGAGGGCAGCACTGGGGGGCTCTGGACATGAGGCCCATCAGGGGTTTGGGGGTCCTGGGGGCCTCAGGGACTGCTGGGGAGGTGCCCTGGGAGGAATGGGGTCACTGGAGGGGTCTAGGGGAAACTGGGGGGGTCCTGGGGATGGGGAAGTGCTGGGAGGGTCCCTGGTGGGAGTCCATGGAGGGATGGGGGTCCCCAGGGAATGGGGGTCCCTTGGGAAGAGAGCGGTGCCTGAGGGGAGCCTGAGGGGCACTGGGGGGTCCCTGGGGGGTTGGGGGCCCTCAGGGGGCACTCGGGGGGTCCCAGGAGGTGCTGGGGGTCCCCTCTCACCTGGAAGCTGAGGTTGCGCAGGATCAGCCGTGCCTTGCGGGAGGGGCCCCGCGGTCTCTTGGCACGGGGGGGTTCCGGGGGGGTCTCTCCCTGTTCCCCCCGCTCCCCCCGTGCCCCGGGGGTATCCGTGCCCCTCCCGGGGGGCCGGGCCCGCGGCCGGGCGGGGCTCACGGGCAGGCGCCGCCCGCCCAGCTCGGGGGGCTCCCGCAGCGCCCGCGCCGCGTCCTCGCTCAGAGAGAACGTCACGTACCCGAACCCGCGGCATTTCGGGGAGCCTGGGGGGCCGGGGGCGCGTCAGGGACCCGACACCCCCGGCACGGCCCCCCCAGACCCGACTGGGACCCCCAAACCAGCCATGCCCCAGAGCCCTGCTGTGGAGGCAGCCGAGTCACCCCATGCTGCCCCCCAATTCCTGACCTCCCAAATTCCTGCTCCCCAAATTCCTGCCCCTCCAAATTCCCGATCTCCCAAACTCCTGCTCCCCAAATTCCTGCTCCCCCAAATTCCTACTCCTCAGATTCCTGCCCCCCGAGTCCCCCAGCCCCGGCCCCCCCTGTGCCTCCCAGCTCAGACCCCAATCCCAAATGTCACCTCCCTTCCAACACCCTGCTCCCATTCCTGCAGGCCCCAGCCCCAAATCGCAATCCAAGCCCCCCCATCCCCCTCAGCCCCCCAAATTCCGGCCTCGGAACCCCCCAGCCCCCAGCCCCAAATCCCTCCATGCCCCAAGACGCAGACTCAGCCCCTCGGGCCCCTCAGCTCCCAACCTCCAGCCCCCAAAGCCCCCAGGGCCCTGCCCAGCCCCCAGACCCCATTTCCAGCCCCTGAAGCCCCCCCTCCCAACTCCTGCAGCCCCCCCAGACTCCGCTCCCAGCCCCTGCAGCCCCCCCAGTCCCCGCTCCCAGCCCCTGCAGCCCCCCCAGTTCCCGCTCCCAGCCCCAGAGCCCGCTCCCAGAGCGCCTCAGACCCCGCCAAACCCCGCTCCCCGCTGCCCCCCGCCCCCCCCCCGAGCGCGGACCCTTCTCAGTGACCACGAAGCAGCGGCGGATCGGCCCCAGGTGCCCGAAGAGCCGCTCCAGGAGCGCGGCGGTGGCTCCGGCGGGGAGGCCCCGCACCAGCACCGTGCGCGCCTCGGGCGCCGCCATCTTGGGCCGCGGGGCGTGCCGGGAGCGGGGCGGAGCGGCGCCCGGGGACGGGAGGGGGCTCAGGGCGCCCCCTGGCGGTGGGGAGGACCGGGGGCACCCGGGAGCGGGGCAGGCTCAGGGACCCCGCAGCACAGCCCAGAGGGGTCCTGGGGGGCTCCGGGACCCCGCAGCACAGCCCAGAGGGGTACTGGGGGGGCTCAGGGGGTCCCACCCCGCGGGAAGGGGGTCGAGAAGCCCTTGGGGTACCGTTCCGGGGATGGGGGCACGTTCAGGGGTCCCGTGTCGGAGCTGGGGGGTCAGAGGGTCCCGCCCCAGGTTTGGGGGTGCTCAGGGTTCGCCCGGGGGTGTCACACACATCCTTCGCACGTGGCACTTTATTGGGTACACGTGGGGGGGGGGGACTGGGGGGGCCATGGGGGAGATTGTGGGGCCCCAGGTCGTCACCAACATTTGGGGGTCTCGGGGGATTGGGGGCGCTTTGTTACCCGTATTAGGGGGGTCACAGGGACCTGAGGGGCGTCTGGGGGGTCCCCAGACTGGCACCAGCACTTGGGAGGCTCAAAGATATTGGGGGGGGGGGCGTTTCTTACCCGTATTTGGGGGCGGTCTCATGGAATTGGGGGTCCCCAGATTGGCACCAGCACTTAGGGGTCTCGAGGACTTGGGGGGCAGCTGGGGGGGGTCCCCAGATTGGCACCAGCGATTGGAGGGCTCGAGGCTCTGGGTGGGGCACTTCGTTACCCGTATTTGGGGGTCTCAAGGACTTGGGGGGCGGCTTGGGGGTCTCCAAGTCCTCATCAGCACCTGGGGGGCTCATTTGGGGCGGGCAGTTTGTCACCCTCTTCGGGAGGACTCGGGAACTTGGGAAGGGTCCCAGATTGTCACCAGCACTTGGAGGGGTCTCAGGGACATGGGGGAGGGCAGTTTGTTACCCGTATTTGGGGGTCTCGGGGACCTGGGGGGCATCTTGGGGGTCCCCAGGTTCTCATCAACACTTGTGGGGCTCTGGAGGACATGAGCGGGGGGGTATCCCCGGATTGTCACCCGTATTGGGGGGGGGGGTCTCAGGGGCCTGGGGAGTCCCCAGATTGTCACCAGCACTTGGGGGGCTCAGGAGTTTGGGGGTCCCGAGGCTGTCACCCTCGTTTGGGGGTCTCGGGGGGCTCAGGGGGTCCTGGGGGTCTCTGGCCGGGCTCTCCCCGCCGCTCCCTACAAGTCAATGGTGTCGCTGCCGGGGCTGGGGCCGCCGCCGCCCGCGGGGGTCTCGGGGGGCGCCGGGCCGGGCCGGGGGCTCCCCTCAGCCCAGCTCTGCGACGGCCGCAGCGGGGGCGGCGCCGCCCGGGGGGGGCCCTGCGCGGGGGTCCCGGGGGTCGGCGCCCCCCGGGCCTGGGGGGCAGCGCCGGGATCCCCCCCCCGGGCCGGGCCCCCCCCGCAGGAGGCGGCGCGGGACAGCCCGGAGGGGCGGGGGGCGGTGGGGGGGCCGCGGGGGGCGGAGCTGCCGGCACCGGGGGCACCGGGGGCACCGGGGGTGTCAGCTGTGCCAGGCCCCCGTGTCCCAGCTGTGCCAGAGGAGCTGGGCTCTGACGGGCCAGCTGTGCCAGGCGCTGCAGGGCCCTGCGTTCCAGAGGTTCCAGGTGTGCCAGCTGTGCCAGGGGTTCCAGGTGTGCCGCTGGTGGCGCCGGTGGCGCTGCTGGTGCTGGCGGTGCCCGGTGTCCCCGTCCCTGAGGTGCCGGCGGTGCCAATTCCCGGGGTCGCGGTTTTGCTGTCCCTGGTTGTGCCGGGGGTGCCGCGCTCTGTCCCGCCGGCTGTGCCAGCTGTGCCAGGTGTGCTGGCTGTGCCAGGTGTGCTGGGTGTGTTGGCTGGGCCGGCTTTGCCGACTGTGCCAGGTTTGCTGGTTGCTGCAGTTGTGCCCGGTGTGGTGGCTGTGCCAGGTTTGCCAGCTGTGTCAGCCGTTCCAGGTGCTCCAGCTGTGCCAGGTTTGCCGGCTGTTCCAGATGCTCCAGCTGTGCCGGGTTTGCTAGCCGTGCCAGCTGTGCTAGGTGTGCCAGCTGTGCCAGGTGTGCCGGCTGTTCCAGATGCTCCAGCTGTGCCGGGTTTGCTAGCCGTGCCAGCTGTGCCAGGTTTGCTAGCCGTGCCAGCTGTGCCAGGCGTGTCAGCTGTGCCGCCTGTTCCAGGTGCTCCAGCTGCTCCAGCTGTTCCAGGTTTGCCAGCTGTTCCAGCTGTGCCAGGTTTTCCACTTGTGTCAGGTGCTCCAGCTGTGCCAGCTTTGCCGGCCGTGCCAGCTTTGCCAGCCGTGCCATCCGCGCTCGCCCCCGCGGTGCCGGTGCCGCCCGCTGCCGCAGCCCCGGCTGTGCCGATGGAGCTCCCGGTGCCCAGCCCGGGCATGGCGGCGCTGCCGGCCCCCGGTAGGGCGGTGCTGCTGGTGCCGGTGCCCGCGGTGCTCCCGGAGCTGCCGCCCCCCGGTAGGGCGGTGCTGCTGGTGCCGGTGCTCGCGGTGCTCGCGGCGCTGCGGGCGCTGCCGGCGGCGCTGATGACGCTGATCTCGGTGCTCCCGGTGCTCCCGAGCACGCTGACCCCGTTGCTCTTGGTTTTCCCACCGTTCCCGGCGCTACCCGTGACACCGACGCCGGTGTTCCCGGCGTTGCCGATGAGGCCGATCCTGGCGCCCGCGGCGCCCCCGATGCCGCCGTTCCCGGCCCGGAACATTCCCGGCGCTCCCAGGGCCTCGTCGATGGAGCGGCGCAGGTCGATGGGGGACGGGGGCCGGTACCCGGCCGTGGGGTCCCCGTCCGCATCCAGGGGGGACTCGGGGGGCGCCCCCGCCTCCTCGCCCGTTCCCCGCCCGCCGCCGCCCTCGGGGGGCTCGGCGGGGCCGCCGGGGGGGGCGCGGCCGCTCGGGGGGGCGGCGAAGGCGAGCGCGGCCAGCGCCCCCCCCATGGCCAGCTCGGCCAGGCGCGCCCCCAGCTGCAGCCCCCACCAGGCCCAGGGCCCGGGCGCGGGGGTCGCGGCCCAGCCCCAGAACTGCAGCGCCCCGAAGAGCTGCAGCCCCGCGCTCAGCGCCGCCGCCGCCGCCCCCAGCCCTCGCAGGACCCCCGCCCGCGCCCCCCCCGCCCCGCCGCGCTTGGCGCGCCCCCCGCCCGTCCCGCAGCGCCGCAGCCCCCGCAGCGCCAGCGCGGCCGCCAGCGCCGCGAACAGAGCGCGGGGCAGCAGCAGCAGCAGCGCCGGGGGCCCCCCCAGCGCCGCCAGCGCCCCCACGGCGCCCAGGACCCCCCCCAGGTGCAGCACCCCCAGTGCCAGCAGCAGCGGAGCGGGGCCGGCGGCGGGGGGCGCCAGCGCCAGCCCCCAGCCCAGGCACGGGAAGGGCAGCTCGAACAGCGCCCGGGCGGCGGCGGGCGGCAGGCGCCCCCCCAGCTCGTAGGGGTCGAAGAAGAGCGGGAAGGCGCGGGCGAAGGCGGACAGGGCCAGCAGCGCCCCCAGCAGCCGGGCCAGCCCCGGGCGGCGCCCCCCCAGCAGCAGCAGCGCCCCCAGCCCCCCCAGCAGCGCGAAGGCCGCCCCCGCCCCATAGACGTGCCCGGCCCAGGCCGCGCCCCACAGCGCCGCCGCCTCGGGCCAGGGGGTGCCCAGCGGCAGGAAGTGGGGCGGCCACGAGAAGGGGGGCGCGGGGGAGGCCCCGCCGGGGTCCGGCCCCCCCGAGCCGCAGGCGGAGCCGGGGGTGCAGGCGGAGGCGGCGGCGGGGGGCGGCGCGGCCCCCCGGGAGGGCTGGCGGCCGGGGGACAGCGCTGCGGGAGACGCGGGGCTCAGCGCGGGGAAACGGGGCTCCCACATCCCGCATCTCCCCACGGATCCGGAGGGAGGCAGCCCACCCCCAAGCACCCACAAACTCCCAGATCTCCCCATTTCCCCGGGACCCCCAAACCAGAACCCCCCCCCCACTGCCTCCAAACCCGCCAGCCCCCAGTCCACAGCCTCCCCCCCCAGACCCTGCATCCCCCGGGCCCCTCCAAACCCAGCACCCCCCCCGTTCCTTCCCGACACCCCCAAAGCCCAGGACCCCCCCCGTTTCCCTGCCCCCGGACACCCCCAAAGCCCAGGACCCTCCCACCCCCCAGGAACCCCCAGCTCCCAGACTCCCCCTCCTCCCAACCCCCCCAGGCCGCCCCCAAATCCCACCCCCTCAAACCCCGGCCCCCTCAAATCCTGCACCCCCAAATCCCGCCCCCCCAAATCCCGCCCCCCAAAGCCCCGCCCCCCCAAATCCCAGCCCCCCAAATCCCCGCCTCCCAAATCCCGCCCCCCAAATTCCGCCCCTCAAACCCCGGTCTCCCAACTCCCGCCCCCCAAATCCCGGCCCCCCCAAATCCCAACCCCAAATCCCGGCCCCCCAAATCCCCCGCCCACAAATCCCAGCCCCCAAATCCCGCCCCCTAAACCCCGGCCTCCCAAATCCCGGCCCCCCCAAATCCCAGCCCCCCAAATCCCGCCCCCCAAATCCCGCCCCCCAAACCCCGGCCTCCCAAATCCCGGCCCCCCCAAATCCCAGCCCCCAAATCCCAGCCCCCCAAATCCCGCCTCCCAAATCCCAGCCCCCCAAATCCCAGTCCCTCAAATCCCGCCCCCACCTGGCTCGGCGCCGCTCCCCGCCTCGTCCAGCTCCAGGGACGCGTTTCCCCCCTCAGCGCCGATCCTGGGGGGCCCCGTGGGGAACAGGAACCCTGGGGGGCACGGAGCTGTTGGTGTGGCTGTTGGGGGGCTCCTCAGCTTTGGGGGGCCCGGCGCGGCCCGGCACTCACCGGCGGCGCTCAGTCTCCCGGCCAGCTCCGAGAGGCCCGGCAGGAGCCGGGGGCGGCCGGGGGGGCCCCGCAGGAGGCTGGTGGGGGGCACGGCCGCCCCCGCGCCCCCCGGGGGGGGGTCCAGCCCCGCCGTCAGGTCGATGGCGATGTCCAGCTCCAGCTGCTTGTCCCGGGGCCGCCCCGGGCCGGGGGTCGTGGCCCCGCGGGCGGGGGCGCCCCCCCGGCCCGGCGCCTCCTCCGGGGGTCCCGCGGAGCCGGGCTCCTCGCCGGGCTCCGGCAGCGTGGGGGGCGCGGCGCTGCGGGGGGGGGGGCCCGGGCTCCTGGGGGCGCCCGGGGGCGTGGGGGGCGCGGGGGGGCGCGGGCCCCCCTGGCTCCGCACCTTGATCTTGAAGTTGAGGCCGAGGTTGAGGGACAGCACGGGGGAGTCGCTGTGGGGCGCGGGGGGCGTCCCGGGGGGGGCGCTGGGCGGCGGGGGGGCGGCGGCCCGGGCCAGGCAGAGCAGCGCCAGCAGCAGCCGGGGGGCGGCCGCCCCCCCCGCGGGGCACAGCGGCGACATCGGAGCGGCTGCGGACAGGGGGACGGGGGCGTCACCTCCCGGCATCACAGAGACCCCCATGACAGCCCAGAACCCTTCCCCACATGGCACCCCAGAGCCCCGCATGGCACCCCAGAGCCTCCCATGACACCCCAGAGCCCCGCATGGCACCCCAGAGCCCCCCATGACACCCCAGAGCCCCGCATGGCACCCCAGAGCCCCCCCATGGCATCCCAGAGCCCCCCCCATGGCATCCCAGAGCCCCCCATGGCACCCCCCGGTACCCAGAGAGCATTTGAGAGGGGACAGAGGCACCTGGGGGGAACAGGGACAGGAGCGGACAGGGGCACCTGGGGGGGACAGGAGCACCTGGGGACAGGGAGAGGATGTGACAGGCCAGGTGCACTCAAGGGTGGACACACGGGAACGCTCCAAGGGAGGGGACAGGAGCATCCGGGGGGGACACCGGGGCACCTGGGGACAGGAGCCCCTGGGGGGAGGACAGGAGCAGCCCGAGGGGGAGCAGGGGTACCCCGAGTTTGGGACAGGAGCACCTGTGGGGACACAGAGCCCCCCCAGGGAAGGGGCGGGAGCGGCCCGGGTGCGGCGGTGGCACTCGGGGACGGGGGGCACGCGGGGGCGCGCGGCGGTGTCCCCTCCCCCGGAGCCCCCCCGCCCGCGCCAGGTCCCTAATCGGGGTGACAGGGGCTGTCGCCGCGGGCTGGCACCGCGCCCGTCAGGGCGGCGGCGGCGCGGGCACGACGGATGCGAAGTGACACGCGGGACACGCGGGGAGCCGCGGCCCCCGCACAGGACAGCGCGCACCGCGCCCCCAGAACTGCCACCCCCGCAAGGGACACCCCCGGCACTGCCCCCCCGGAACTGCCACCCCCGGCACTGCCACCCCCACGCGGGACACCCGCGCACACCGCCACCCCCCGGCACTGCCGCCCCGCAGCCCTGCCTGCCCCAGAGCCCCGCGGCAAGAAGGGGGTCCCCACGCCCCGCCCCACGCCGGTGCCACCCGTGGGTCACAACCGCGCTCCCCGCACGCCTGCCCCCCCCGCCCGCCCCCTCCCGCTGTGCCCACGCGTGTGACAGGGACATTGCCGGGGGGGGTACACGGGAACAGCCCGGGGTGGGCACCCCCGCACCCCCGCTCGCACCCCCACCTGTGCCCCCCCCACCTGTGCCCCCCCACCTGTGCCGCCCCCCGTCCCCCGCTCCCACGCGCCCCCCCCGCCCCGCTCACCCCCCCGAGCCCCCCCCGGCCGCGCCCCCCCCGCGCAGCCCCCCCCCCCCTTTTCCCGCGCGTGGGTGCGTGTGCGCACGTGTGCGCGCGCGTGACGGCGCGTGCCAGCGCGTGTGCGTGGGACAGCGCGCGCGGGGGTGGCGCGGGGGGGGCGCGGGGCTCGGCACCGCTTTGGGGGGGGGGGGGCACCCCCGAACCCCCCCCGAACCCCCCGAACCCCGCTCGCCACCGCCGCAGCCCCGGGGCGCCCCCGCACCCGGCCCCCCCTCCCTGCAAACCCGGGGCCCCCGAACCCCGGCACCCCCAAACCCGGCTCACCCCCTCCCCCCCCCGGCAGCCGGCACCTCGCGATCCGCGCCCCCCCCACCGGGGACCCCAACCCCGTGCACGCCCCGCACCCCAAACCCGCACCCCCCCCCGAGCTCTCCCCAGCCGCACCCCCAGCCCCGCTCAGCAGCGTCCGGCGGCCCCCCCCCCCGCTGCCCCGCAACCCGCGCACCCCAAACCCGGCACCCCAAACCCCCGCGCACCCCAAACCCGCTCCCCAAACCCCCGCGCACCCCCAAAGCCACCCCCGCCCCCCCGCACCCACCGGCCTCGGCGGCGGCTCCAGCCCCGGCCCGGCCCCGGCGGCGGCAGCGGCGGGAGGGGCGGGCCGAGCCCCCCCCCACTCCTCCTCCTCCTCCTCCTCCTCCTCCTCCCACCCCCCGCGCCCCCCGGGCTCCCCCCGCCCCAGCCCCCGCCCCCCCCGCGGGCTCCGGGACCCGGCGGGGCCGCGCGGCCCGGCTGGAGCGGGGGGGGGACATTGGGGGGGTCCCACAGCCGGGGGGGGGAGGTTTGAGGGGTTCCCGTCCTGCAGGGGGGAGTCATGGTGGGGTTCACACATTTGGGGGGGGTCTCACATTTTGAAGCGGTCCCACACTGGGGGGTCCCACACATGGGGGTCCCACACTGGGGGCATGTCCCACATCTGAAGGGGGTCCCACTTTTGGGGGGTCCTCCCATATTTGGGGTGTCCCCCCGTAGGGGAGGGGGTCCCACATTTGTTGAGGGGAATATCCTGCGTTTGGGGTTTGTCCCAAATTTGGAGGGGGGTGTCCCACAATTGAGGGGGGGCTCTCCCTTCTGAGAAGGTGCCACATTTGGGGTGCCCTGTTTGGGTGGCGCTACTTGCGGGGGGTCTCAGGTGTGTCCCGACCTTTGCCACCCGTGCCATGCGTGTGCCACCCATGCCCGTGCCATGTGTGTGCCACCACCCTGTGTCACAGCATGTGCCACCCGTGCCATGTGTGCCACCATCCTGTGTCACGGCATGTGCCCTCCTGGTGCCACGTGTGTCCCCCGGCCCCCGTGGCACCGGCAGGGACAGCGACACGCCAGGGGCCAGCCGGGGGACAGGACCATGGACAGGGCCAGGAACGGGGACAGGGCCGGTCCAGGGACAAAGCAGGGACAGGGGACAGGACCATGGACAGGGACAGGGCCAGCCCAGGGATAGGGACAGGACCGGGGACGGGAGCGGGGACAGGGACAGGGACAAGCCAGGCTCCGATGCTCCAAGAATTTATTCACCCCTGGACACAGGACCCCTGGCCCGTGGGGTCCCCGTGACACTGTGGGGTCCCCGGGACACTGTGGGGTCCCCCGGGACACTCTGGGGTCCCCTGTGGCACTGTGGGGTCCCCCAGGACGCTGGGGGGTCCCTGCAGTGCTGGGGGTCCCCCCATCCCCACTCGGGGGCACAGGGGGACCCGGCCCTGCAAGCTCCTCAGTGCCAGGGAGGGTTTGGGGGTCCCCACACCATTGGGGGGGCTTTGGGTCCCTGCATTCCCCCTCTCTGGGGAGGCCGGGGAGGTCCCCACAGCCTCTGGTGCCCCGGGACCTTTGGGGGGCCCCTACACCCCCATTTCTGTGGGCCCTGGGGATCCCCCTCCCCTGAGGTGCCCCGGGGGGATTTGGGGGCTCCCTGCACCCCCAGTTCCAGGAGGTTTCCGAGGTCCCCGCAGCCCCTGTGCTCGGGGGGGTTTGGGGGTGCCCCATTGGGGGGTGCCCGTCAGCAGCGCCGGTGTCGGGGGGCCGGGGGGGTCCCCGCAGGCTCCGGGCGGGGGGCGCCGGCCCGGGGGGACCCCTCCTCAGGGCAGCCTCCTCTGGGCACTGGGGGGACAAGGGGGGGGGTCACAGGGGGGAAGGGAACCCCCAAACCCCAGATCCTGGCTGGGAGACTGGGGGCGCCCCCTCCCCCTGCCCA